AGTAAGATTTACAAAACCATCCAACTCAAAGAAATAACGAACAAAGTCAATAAAATTCTTATTAAATACTTTAAATATATATATATAAAAATAAGCATACGGCCAGAACAGAGACCAAGGTAGTTAACATGTTATAAATAAATGGACATGAAAAGAGACATGTTATGAAAAATTTAAAATACAAAGCCATGAATCTCTAATATACGGATAAATAGTTAATTGGCCAACGTTCCAACAATTCAGCCATCATCCGGGCAGAAAAACCAAAATCACTTATTTGAAAAAAGAAAAAATATATATATATAATGTTGTAGTGACATCTCACGAAGCCACCCAAATACATAGGTACTGAATGAAAGAGAAAGTTCATATGAAATATTCATTTTAGTTCATATTAAATATTCGTATTCATTTTATTTTATTTAACACGTTTGGTATTATCATATTTTAGTTATGATTCAATTTTTTTTCTTTTCTTCCTTGTATTCCTGCTAATCAATTGTTTAATATATCTTTTCTTAGCTGTGTTAATAGAACTTTTTCTTTCCTTGCATATGGATTTGGGTGGCTTCGTAAGGTGGCTACAGGAATATGTTTTTTTTTCATGCATATAAGTGCTCTTGGTGTTTCTGCCCTGATGAAATGAAATGAAAATATATTTTTATCATCCTGGGACTGTTGTCAGTTTAGGACGAATTATAGATACAGGGAAAATGCCTATGTGGTCATAAAATTAATTTAAATACTTACAATGCTCATTAAAATAAAAATATTGGAAGAAAAATTAAAAAACAATAAATACATACAGATATATATATAATACGAACATGTGAAAATAAAATAATACAATTGAACAAAATCATTTCTGGGGGAGCTTAAAATGTTCTCTCATATACTTTTTATGATCACTCGGGTTGGGAAAGAAGTAGATGTTTAAAAAGGAAAGATTTAAATGAGGAAACTGATTGTACATATCGGATATCGGGAGGGATGGTATTCCAGATGGAGACGGCTTGGATTATAAAGGATTTGTACAACGCAGCAGTTCGGTGAGGAGGCGGATAGAGGTCAGAAGTATGGGATCTATTGGGACGGGATTGAATGGAATATTTAAATTGTAGGCTGTAAAAAATATATGAAGGTCGCTGAGTTCTGATGGCTTGGTTTAGAAAAGTAGCAAGGAAGTACAGACGGCGGTTGGATGGATAGAGCCACTTCAACTTGGTGTAATACCGGGTTATATGTTCTCTTTAGTTTTTTTTCTCCTTGTACACAAGAGAGTCCCGTACACCACTGATGATGCCTGAATTGGCGAAACGTTGACAAGTTAACTATTTACCTGAATTTTGGAGACTCATGGCTTTGTAGTTTGGATTTTTGTATTTATAAAATAAAAGTATATATTAATTTAGAAATATTACATTCTGTCACACTTAAAGGCACAAAGTATTTTAGATCTATATATGACAAACTCCATATATACTATAAAACTTTAAATACAGAAAAATAAATATTGAATACTTAACGGTTAACCGTTTCTATAATAAGGAATAAGATAGTTCGGGGAGTGGTCATAAAATAACAAAATAGTGGAAACTATTCGATTTTGTTTATTTCTTTTTAAATATTGGTATCTTGCATACAATTTTTTGAGACAAATAACATTGACATTTTATAGTATACACGACATGCATTATCAATAATAATTTTTAAGGAACTGGAATAAATAAAATTGAAAATCCCTCCGTTTACCGTTAAATATTCGAAGAAATATAGCAACAAGCTGATTACAGAATCACAAAACAGCTGTGAAGTGGAACGTGACATAGCGCCTAAGGATTTGTTGTGCTGTTATGCACCATGGCGATTGGTTGCACAAGTAGAACAAATATAAATGGACAACTCAGGCGTACATTTCTTAATGCAGAGAACTAAACAATAGAGACTTTGTAATGGTTACGTAGTTATTAAAGATGGTCGGACACACTGAAATATTGAATGACATTTTTACAATTCACTATCTGATTCAGATCAAGAACAACCAAGAATTAATAGGTGTGGATTTAATACAAATTGGGGTGATTTGGATTTTTATACCATAATACCAATTCGATTTTTTTTTTTTTTTGTATTGTTGACAGACCTTGAAGATCTTTTGCAACCTTAACAAAACCTGCTCTATCTCTGTCTGTCTTTTGCTATTTCTTTCCATTTATCTGCACGCAGCTCTATTGCATCTTTGATGATTCTACCTATCCAACTGCTGTTTTGCGATCACGTGGTCTTTTGCTTTTATTAAGGCATGCATTGTTGCGTTGAGGCTGAGTATAGCGTATTGCTGTTTTGAGCTGGTTAGCTTAATAAGCATTTCACTTTTCATGTGAATTTTCCCTGTCGTTCATTGAAACATAACTTTTCAGGATTTTCTCCTAATTCAAGATTCCAATAAACTTGGAAAGCTGAATTATAACAACATAACAATACATTTTAGATTTAACACCTCCAAAAGGAATAAATAAGTAAGAACTTTTCAAACACTTTTATTTTATAACTCCAGATCTTATATGTTTACTGCTATTTTTTTAAAGTTTATTTATTTATCTATCCTTTCTTATTATCTATAAATGTTAATTATTATCCTTATTTATTTATTTTATTCTATCAATCCATTTCTTTATTTATTTTTATTTTTATATTTTTAAAAATATTTTTGTACCAACCATCCAAATAGTATTAAGTGGTGTTATTTAGTTGATCGGGCGCTTATGACCTGGATGTTTTGCGCCTAGACATCGAAACAAACAACATATGTTTACGGAGGTTCGGGTTGTGATTACTGATAATAATAACAATACTGACACTTCCTTATATAAATCTTCATATGCACATGCTTTTATAAGAATGTAGTGTTATAATTCTTTCTAAACACTCAGAGCTGATAATAAATATAGGGCATTATAGAAAGAAAGAGAAGTGTCCAAGTATCGTTCTAAAAACTGTTTAGGATGAAGCTCAGAAACAAGCTATCAGTTGACCTGGTTCTTTAAACTGTCTGGAGATTCTACAGCTTACAGGAGCCTACCTTGCTACAATAGAATTAAGTTAAATAAAGCTCAGTTAGCAGGGAGGACTTAGCTTAATTCCATATTCACTCGTTAGGAGGCGTATTGTTCTAGCGGAACTAAGTTCTCAGCTGGAGTTGCCTTGAATTTATCTAATACTATAGTGGTTAAGTAACAATACGTTATCTGAGATAGGTTACTAATCCTTAAGTAAGATATAACAAAATATTTACAATTCATCGTAGGAGTATAGAATATATTTCAATATTCTATGAAAAGATTTCAAAGCCTCATTCCTCAAAATACCACTAAATAACTAAACTCAGCGTAAGGGGATGAGCAGCCATGAACTCCACTCTTCTCTGTTCTTTGGCAGGTTCCTGGGTCGACGGAGATCTTTGCCTCTTCCTTTGCAGAGTCTATCGATGTACTCCAGATATGACATTCTTAGGCGTCCTCGAGATCTTTTGCTATCCGGAGCGTAGTCCATCGTCTTCAATGGGTCTCTGTGTTGATCACGTGGCCAAACCATTTCAACTGGTGAATTTGCAGAACTTCCTTCAATAAGGCGACCCCCAGCTCCTGGCGTATATTTTCGTTACGAACCCGGTCACTCCTAGTCTTACCGATTGTTCTTCGCAGGAACTTCATTTCAGCAGCAGTGAGTCTGCTCTCTTGCTTATCTGTCAATTATGGGCCAGTATCTTATGGGCTTATGGGCCATTTCACCACTTTTAAATGTTTTATAATCAATCTTAAAATACATATATATACCGCTTATGTGTTTTTTTTTCTCTCTTTCGCGCCTCTACCATCAAAGATAATAGGCGGTTTACTACAAGTTATATACTTTTATAATAGTCTGTTAACTTTAAAAATTTAAACAAACTATTGATTCTTTCTTCAGCATCTTGAAGGATTTTTCTTAATGTTTTGGCCTAAGCCTGTTTTTCGTCTGTAATTTTCAAATTGAGGAAAGTGTTCCAGAAAGTGTTTCACTGTCTATGGAACGTTATTACATTTTTCACACGCGGGCGAATTACATTTTTCACACTTCGACTCCTCTCAAAAACTATCCGTGTGTAAACTGGCAGTGTCCTATCCTTAGTCGGACAAGCATGATTTCTTTCATGTCAGCCATTTGTCGCAATTAGGTTTTATTTCTGTCATTTTGCATTCTTTCCTTTCATATTCTTTCTTCCATTCTATTAGTTTTTTTTTTTTTTGTTTTTTTTTTGCGTGGTACAGTCAGTGTTCTGAGATAACTTCTTTAATCTTATCTCAGCCTGTCTTCTTCACTCCTTCCTAAATGGGCTGCTTGATCAGCTTTTTCATTTTTTAAAAAAAAAATTTATGACTTCATGCATGATATGAAAACAGTCGACTAGCTTTCTTCTATAAGTTTATTTTGAAATATTAAGCATTATATTTGATTATTTCACAATAATTATGTTGAATTCTTACACATAGTATAACTTCTCGCCATTTTTTTATATATCTTCTTCCCAATCAAAATCAAACGTCTGCACCGAAAAATGTTTGCTAAAACCTTTCATTTATTCCCTATTCTGAAAACGACTGTAAGTTTCTTTAAAAAAAAATAAAAAAATTGTTAATCGTGTAAGACGGGAGTATTTTATTTTTTTTTAAATGTTGTTTTGGTACAATTGCTACCTTAGAAACTGAGAAATTAAAATAGAGTTAGATTGTTATCAATCAAAACTATATTAATTAACCTTTTCTTTTTTTGCTACCGATTAAATAAAAATTAGGAAGGTAATTATTAGAAGATTCCAATAAATACCAACTATTATGCGGCTACCTAGTTGTGCTTTCATAATAATTATGTCTTCTAACTTATTTTTTTCTAATGCTTTAGGTTAATTTAATATTTTATAAATTTAATTTTATCCTTCAAATTAAATTAGAGATGTTAGGAAAGCAATATATCTTGATGTTTATATTACTTCAGTTTAGAAAGAATTAAATTTATATCTTGTAATCAAATTTAATTGTATTAAAACTACAGCTGTGCATTTAAATTGTGCTTCTTAGAAACGGCAGTGTATGTACAATATCTATAAATGCGTGGAGGTTAATGTAGAGTCGGTTAAGAAGAACTCCAAGAATGACCGGGGCAACGGAAACTGAAGAAGTGAGCCTCACTTCCGTCATTTCGGTCTGTGCCTGCCGGATATGCCAGACTGCCAAGAGCAGGGAGGAACTGATATCACCCTGCAACTGCAAAGGTAACTTGATCCACAATTAATAACTAATACATATTATATATATAACTGTTATTTACGTAAACTCAATAAAATATTAAAACAAATCGAGTAAAAACTTTTCATAACCCCAAATCAATGAATGATAATCATATGCCTTAAATGAAGATAAGACGAACTTTAAGTTGATAGAAGTGTAGTATTAAATTTCGAGCTCTGTAAACATTAAATAAAAGTTGTCAGCACGTATATTTAATAGCAAAATAAAATTATTTTCGATATTTCAAACCTCAAGTCTTATCAATTTTTCATAACCCAATATAAACAATCGATAGTAGCTCTTCCATTGATAAATAACACATTACACCTCTATGGGCCAATAGTGATAGGTGAATATCAATGATTTCTATATATACTGAAAGGTTACTACAGCCCAAGACCAAGACTGACCTGAGAAACTCTTGCGTCTCCCAGTCAAACTGACACTTGGGCGTTATTGAGTATTGTATTCAATATCGACCAAATCCACGATTCTTTGCATCTAACAACAAAGTTGGTTGTTATAACACTTACAAAAATAATTATATTGTAAGTTATCGTTACGGATCTTTAACATGTTAACCATACATTAAATTAAAACACATTTCTTGCTGAACCGTGTTTTTTCGCTTAGCTCTCCAAATAATAACATGTATGATTTTGTCATGCCGGAGCAAGATAAAAAAAAAAAACATTTATAAGAATAAAAATTTGGACAAAATAGTTAGGTGGACAATATTAAAGTATAGTTAAGTTAATTTTATGATATTGGTTGGACATAACCTCTATCTCTTTGTCAATATAAGCTCAAAATGTAGCTACTCAGACATGTAAACAAACATAATAAATAGCAATAGGATAATAAGTAATTGCAATACTTGCAAATCCCTACTGCAAGACCGAGGCGAAGACTAAGACTGAGTACGCAATACCAAAACCAATACCAAATTTCTAGTAGATCCGTCTGTGAATGGTAGTAAGATAATAAATGATGCGTTTGTGACCGGTTAAACATTTCTACTTTTCAGATAAATGGTTTGGCTCTTTTCTACTTTAAGCACACCAGTAAACACCATCTTTTCCCCTTTTCGCCTCTCCCAACACGAACGTATCGCGTTAAGTTACTAATTTGAATAATAGCTCATTACAGAGAGGATGAAATGCTGAACATTTACGTCGCTTATAGTATACAGGACAGCATTTTAGTTTCTGACATATTTTAATCCAAATCTACCATAAAACTCGTCATCATTTGGTTTTCGATACTATTTTTTTTTCTTTTTGCCTCTATGACACAGATTCGCGTCAAGGTACAATTTGGAATAATAGACGATTACAGAGAGGATGAAATGCTGAACATTTGCCTCACTTACAGTATGCAGGTCCATTTTTTAGTTTCTGAGATATTTTAATCCATATCTTCAACCAAACTCGTTCCCTTTTTTCTTTTTGCCTCTCTAACACAGCGTCAAGTTAAGATACAATTTTGAATAATAGCTCATTATAAAGAAGATAAAATTCTGAACATTTCTCTTTTACTTTTTCCCTGAACTTTTATTAGTACAGGTACGATTTTTAGTTTCTGAGATATTTTAATCCAAAAGCATTAACACTTAAAATTTACTGCTGTGCTTAAAGTAAAAAAAGGACAATGATTTAAACAGGGTAAGATCTAATATAATAATAACAAATGCCTTAGATATTATACAATACTTTAGATTTTTTTTAATTTAATCACCTCTATCCAAGAAGAGCATTGGCGGTAAGTTATTATTTTATATTCGATTATAATACTTCGTTTACTTAAAATAATAAACCAAAATGGCGACTTTTCACTCCCCTCTCTTTTAATATTCCTTTAATTGTTGATGATAATTTTAATTTTTGTCTGACTCCTTAAAGTTAACGAGTCTAGTCTATCATAATTTTTGAGGGGTGCATATTTTGATTTTTTGAGAGAGGAGGGCGCTAAATTTCGACAGGGTTATGAATTCTCAAACTAAGGAGCAAGAGGAAAATATGAAACATACCGCAACAAGTGCAATTGTATATGATCTACGTATTGTACGTATTGTAATTGTACCTTAGCATAGTTTGTTTTTATGAAAAGTGAGCAATAAAATATCTTGGGAGGAGGGAAAGGGGATAGGTTCTTGCGTCATCCGCCCTGAGGAAGGATGGGCACCTCTGAGTCTAGTTGTAAGTTTTTGACAACGATTTGTTGTTACAATTTTGCTACTTGGTTGAGTCTAAACTAACAAGAAGTTATTCTTGTATAATGATACATTGACCGACTCGTAATTAGCATAACATAATTTCTTCCCATCTCGGTTTTCTTGAAGTCGTGGTCCATTTGTCGGATTGCGTTTTAATTTCCAGTAACAGTTTTCTAACTGTTTCTCTTTGCTGGCGTACCCAATCCTCACATAACAACTACCTAAACTAGCTGAGATATGTGTAATAAAAACCTGTACCACTACAATCCCATAAAGGGTCTTGGGCTCAGTACTATTTAGAGAAAGCACTGTTTCCAGGTAAACGGTTGGGCAAGGAGGTGATTTGGCCGAGATCACGCTCAACCGTCAGGTTTTCTCCCTTAATTAATTATTTAATTAAGGGTACCCACTTTATAGAGGCTGGATTTGCCCCAGGAGGATATCCCAACCCAGGGTCGCCCCACAGCCAATGCAACAGATAAATAAATTTTCTGGCACGAGCCGGGGTTCGAACCTGGGTCCTTTAGCATTGTCCCTACCACTGAGCTAACCCACTCCGTATATGTGTAATATGTAGGAGAAAAAAATTCCTGTTCAAATTCACCATTTTTTTATTTTTTCAGGTCAATTCCACGACCATTGCAATCACATCAGAAAAATTATGTTAGAAATTATTAATAAATTTCTCACGGTAAGAGGACATGGAATAGAAAATTTGAAAAGTCTACATCTTCCATACGATAGAAAATTGATGATCTCCATTTTGGAGGATCGAAAAAATCAAACAGTCGTTAAAATGTTTTGGGATACGCAGTTTCCAACAGGTACCATTTTATAATTGCTTTTTTTGTTCATCAAGTCTTTAATACAAGGGTCGGCTGAAATATTTTCAAATAAGATATTAAAATAAAATAATCAAAATCAAATGTGACACATTGGATGATTTTCAATGGATATTCCAAGCTCTCAAAGACCGTGATAAATTTTTTAAACCTTATGTACTTAAATTAAATTTTAAAAATCATTTTATATACAAATTCAGATTTACCAATATAATTATAGTTTCGGTATTATGATTCAGCCTACCCTCGTATTATTGAAATATTAAATATATAATACATGTTATTAACAATAAATATATAACTACAACTAAATTTAATAAAGGTTTAAACAAGCAAAAATATAAAAATATTCAATTTGTGATACGAAGTTAGGCTGAACAATGGTCAATATAATAAATAACATGATAAATAGATACTACTTATTAATTTAGCTTTGTTATATTTTTTTAATTTAAAATTTTAATATAAATCAGTATCCCCAACCAAGTCCTTCTCAAATAATAATTTTTGATATTTGATCATTTTTTTTCATTAGACATTTTACCATTTTAAGGGGAGGGGTTCAACCCGAAACCTTCTCTCGTAGATTCACCAGTGAAATGGATACTCCTAATGTTTTTGCATGATTCTGTAGAACAGATAGAACCTTTTCTTTTTTAATTGACGATTTTATAAGAATACGCAGATTAGTGATAAGTCAATCTTTTTGTCATGGAAATGAATTCGTTATCTATCTCTTTTTCTTTACTCCGATTATAAACGAATAACTGTGATAATATAAAATTTAATTAATTTTTTATAATTTTAAAGTTACTGCTACATGATAAAAGGGTTTTAGAAAAAAGCAAATGAAACATAATGTAGAATGTAATAGGGGACGATATTGAATTGTAAGTTCTCAAGAACTGATTCAAGCAGTTATAGTTTTTTTTTTTGTTTCTATTTTATTGAGTCTATGGTTTGAAGAAAACGCTTATATTTTATTTCCCCGAATCATTCTCTCTTTCAAAGTTTCTTCACAGAAAAACTTCGTTCACAAGTTTTTTTTTTTCCTAGTAAAAAGATAAGTTTAATAAAGTATCAAATCACTTATTCAGATATAAGTTAGAAATAGAACTTATTCTGTTAATATAATATCATTCTAATATCATCGGTTATTTCCCGGAAAGAACGTTTCTCTGGACACAATTGTAAATATTTTAGCTATGAATCTGCAAGCTACTCCGGAATGTTTATAAAATACATCTTTCAGTTCTCTAGCGGTAAAAAAAAAATATATCCTCAAGTTCTTTATCGATATTAATCAGAAATATCTAAACAGAAGATGGCTTGGAAGGATGCCAAGACTAACCTTAACGCACACTTAACAATTCTCTCTGTTCCTTAGCAGCTTGCCAGAAGTCCCGACCTATAAAAACTTTTCGCACGCTGTAACTTAAGTCTTATAAACAATAGTGGCCAAGTTGTAGATCTTTAGAACTTGATTTCAGGTAGGATTCTCAGCTTACAAAGTTACCTTTGAAATTCTAACTTGTGCTTAAATTAACAGAAGTTTATCTATTTCGGTCCCTATTTAACCACTAGCAATTAGTGGCATTGATCTGAAGAGTATAAGATAGCAACTGAATATATAAATTCAAAAAATCAACTTATTAGTTAATCTTTTAACTAAAACTCCTTGCTGAACACACCTGTAAGTCTCTAACTTTATTCTTTTATTTTTATTTATTTTATTGCATTTTTTTTTCTTTCGTCACATCCCTTTATGTCCATTATTTCATATTATTTATTATTTTCTTCCAATCTCCTTGAGATCTGAGGTATTCATTGCATATCTTATATATTATACTCACGTTGTTACCACTATTACTCGTTAGGATTTATTTTATGTTACTCCGTATATATAGTTTATTGTTCTTAATATTTCAATGTACTTACTGTTTATAATTTCAATAAGTTTATTCACCTTGTTTATAATTTTTATCTGAATATTATGTAACTTCCACAATTTTTTATATCATTTTGTATCTTGTCCGTTCTAGTCCTGAAGAAGGCCTGCAAAATCGGGTCGAAACGTTGGCTTTTAATATAATAGTTTTGCCACTGTTTTAGTATATTTATGTCCCCGTCACGCTCCCCCCCCCCTCGGACCATCTCTTTCCTCCAACTTATCAGTTGACTAAACTGTTTGAGTAAATATTGATTTATTTAAATTCAAATAAAACATAACTTTTTCTATAGAACGATCCAAGATCGATTTTTATTGTAGCTAACATAACAATGATTTAAATCTTCATATATAATATGATAGTTTTTGGCAGAGTAGATCTCTTTTTAGGCTCTCTTTTTCGCAAGAACGATGGATATTAAAGAAGGAAGTATCAAATGAAAGGGGGTTTTATGGAAAAGTGTAGAATTACATCACATCGTCCCAAAATTCTAGTATAAAACATATACACTTTTTTTATATTTTTTAGATTGCGCCCATGACTCTTGTTAAATTAGAACTAAGATAAATTATTTCCATATCATTAAAAATATTATAGATTAACGTATTTCAGAATAAAAACCGTAAACCGTGGGAATGAGCAACTCAAGAATAATCCAATGATAAATATTAAATCAGAATAGGGCATAATTTGGTAAATTTTAATAGGCTTATGTAAAATTTAAACTATAAATTAATAAAAAATGGTATCATAAATTTAAGTATTTTAAAATTAAATGTTTCCAAATAAATAGCAAATGGATATTTTTTTTTTTCGAAAATTCTTTATTGAGATATATTACTATCTTTCAGTTCTAAGGACAATAGTAATAATGATAAAGAGTAGCTAATTCACACTTTGTATAATAAATAAACAGCAAAATAAGAATACTAAAAGTAAATGATATAAACTAAAAGACACTAAACTAAACAAAAATAAACTAAACTAATCAAAATAACTACTTAAATACACGCATGCTTTTATACAATATTTACAAAATTCATTTACTCAAGATCTCCGAGCCACATTCTCCCCCCTCGAAGGAAAGGCAGGACTCTGGGAGATCCCAGCGCCTCTCACTCGGCCGCATTACTGGTATTAAGGACCAGTGGAGACTGAGCAGAGGCGCTATAATTAGACTACATGGCTTCAGTGGAGAATCTGGTCATTGCCATAACTCCTATATATTCTTACAACATGTCTCTGGCCTACTGCCGCTTCAACCTTCGAGCAGGATTGTAAGGGTGGGTAGAGGTAAATAGGGATTGTGCAAGTGGATTTGGATGATATGTAAGGTTTTGATAAGGTTTGGAATTTTTTTCAGGGATAAGGTCTAGGACAAATAGGATATTGAGGTCATGGTGTAGGGTTTGGTTTGTTAAACAGAACGGAACATCAATTATTGTTCGGAGGACTTTGGACTGAAAGGATTGAATGCCTTTGATGTTGGAAATTTTTACTGTCCTCCACAGTTTCAGTCCACAGGTCCAATTAGGTCTCAGTATTGTCTTATAGATCAGTAATTTGTTGTAAATTGAAAGTTGATATTTTCTGTTCAGTAGTCTGTATAATTGGCCGTATCGTCGGTTGAGTTCTTGTCTGAATCTAACTAAATCTGGAAAAATGTTAATTACTTTAATTAATTTCAGGAAAATAAAATGATAACAAAAAGTCTTCATAAAATGTTACAATGTTGCTTTATAGACAATTAGCTGATGGGAAAAGCTCTTCATTAGTTGATATTGCGGTCGGATCAGGAGAAATCTAAAAACCATTTTCAAATTGATGATCCAACAATTATTTTAATAATGGCGGATATAGCGGGGGCCTCGAATGTAGCAAAGGGTCGTGAATGTTTTTAATATCCACCGCCCACTATGTTTTTTCTCTCCCGGTTTCCTAGACCCCATTCATACCTCACGGAGTTAATCCAGCGTGGGTGAGATATCAATTTTGTTAAACAATTATTGTTATGGTTTATGAATCCACTTAAAAAAAAAAAGAGGTGTTTCTAAATCCATCTATACACACGTATGTATATTAATAGCTGTGCCCGTAGCAACACCAACGTTAAATTTGGATTATATTCGTTTGGCAAATAAATCTTCTCTGTTTTTTTGTTTATTTTTATGTCACTACCATACACTTCTTTTCTGACGCATTTATCTCGTAGGTGGATTGTTTATCTTGTTTTTAATCTGTTCATTTCATTTTTGTAAACTCTTCTTAAAATTAGGTTAATATTGTCTTTGCTAATGTTTGGAAGAAAATTCTATGGTTAGATTGGCGCTACATGTGTCGCACACAAGCATAGAAAACCATTTTTAAACTCCAAACGAAGTTATCTTAGCAACAATCAATTTCCTGGGAGCTTTTGCCCCACCCTATTCAGCAAATAGTTCTCCAAGCGACTGCCAATTATTCCGGTTATTAATTTTTTTTACATAAGCCTCAGATAGGCACAGATTATTTATTCTTGAGTTTATATTATGTATAAAAACTATAAGTGGATAATATAATACTATGCATAAAAATAAATTAATGATACATGTTTTAATATTAGTTTGTTTTTTTCCGAAAATACATTAACAAAGTAATTCAATTTTTTACATATTTTTATTATTATTTGAACGTTTGAGGCAGTGAGTTGAATTCTCAGATGCTTCAAATTTGCCGCAGGAAATGCGATAAAATATTCACGTAAAAATGGAAGGGTGCATGAATAAACCATAAAATCCTAGGATATGTTGCTACATAAAATTATCTTTGGGGAGAGGGGGGAAGGATAACACTGAAATGATATTTTAGCCCCCCTCTATTTTTATTGCGGGAGCGATTTCCTCTCTCGTCCTCTCCCCTCCGAAATTAGTCAATGGATAGGTTCTACTAAAATTATGATAAATACATTCTAGATTAAAATAAATCGTATATCTACAATACACCAATTTTATTTCACTCTACAAAACTCAAAGGCCAACTCAATAAGTGCCTTAT